TAGATGAATTCTTCATGTATATATATATGTACAAATAAATGTACGCATTTATTTTTTAGTTTTTATTTAAAAATTCCTTATATGTACATATAAGGAATATTTGAAGTGCACAACATCATTACTCATTTAGTTTTTCCCTAAATCAATATAAGAAAATTATTGTAGTGTTTTGATTATTTTTTACAATAATTATAGTAATAATCATAATCATAATAATAAAAATAATTTTTTTTCTTCTTCTTTTACTTTCTAGGAGACTGAGGCAACTCGATGCATATCTTAGGATTATATTGGCAACTAGTAATTTTCAAAAGATGTACAATTTAACATTCCTTAACTTTTACAAATCTGATTAGAGCAAGCCTTCAACAGTTAATATTTGTGAAGATCTAGATTATCTCCCTGAAGAAATTGAGGTTTTTCTGTTGGGAAGAATACTCTTTGCCATCTGTGCCATTAAGCTTTTGTGTAGAGAATCTTGTAGAACTTCATATGCCTAATAGTCATCTTCTTTTTTTTTTTTGAATATGAACATGAAATACTCAATCAACAGAATGTGAAAACAATATAGAAGACAAAACAAACAACAAGAAAAACAAACCAACCACCCTTAATCAACAAATGGGTGGGGTATTAAAAGTGTTAAAGTCATTGGATAATCTCTGTGCTAACTTAGCAAGATAGTCAGCTATCTTATAAAAACTAAACTTTATGAAATTGATCATACTTTGAAAGGGGTGATAATTATGATTGTTTTTTGTGATTGTTTAGATTGCCAGTGCATAATTACAAAAAACCTCCACAATCTTGTACCCTTTTTGCCAACATAATTCAAGACCCTTAAAAATATCAAACAATTTAGCAATAGCAGGGGGAACATGTCCTAATTTTTAATTAAAACCTTGAATCTAGGCATTGTTTTTATCCTTCAAAACTCCACCACATGAACTGCGACTATTGTAAGAGTAGACCCATCAACTTCAAGTCAAACTTCCTCCAACAAATGTTGATGTAGAGCACCATGACAATCACTTATGGGGAGTTGGGGTAGGTTATTTCTAAGATCTTGATCAGCTACAACTCTAAAGAAAGATGTAGATTGTTCCTCCATTATCCAATCCTCTCAAGCCTAGAAAGCTCAATTGCAATGACTCCTTCATATATCCCAATAGATATAAGCAAACAAAATATCCCAAGGAACCTTCTTAGTAAAAGAATTCCCTCCTTGATGTTTCATATTCCAATCGAGCCAATCCCACCTATTCGATAGCTTTGAAATGGAGATTTGGTATGTATTTTTCACCTAAGTCTAAAGATATCTCATATTCTCATTCTTGCACAGCAAAGAATTGAAAACATATAACTCATCTATGTAAATGCATTCACTTATTTCCTTAACAAGATGAGAAATTTATGAATAAATATTGTTTAGATATCTAACTTATAAACCCTTCTTTTTTTTTTCTCCCAGCGTTTCCCTAATTTGCAGTCAATCAATCTAAGTTTCTCAAAATACCTCATTGGACTCCCAGATCTCTCACTGGCCCCAAATATTAAAGAGATACATTGTTTTGGTTGTGAAAATTTGGCTCAAATTTGCTCTTCAAGTGTCCTGCACAAGCTTTCCCATTGGCATAATTGGTTGCTAAGGGTTAAAGAATATAAACATTGGTGGCAGTATTATAGAGAGAAGTTCAGGATTAGCGATTGTCCGTAATTTTTTGGATTTTAACAACTTGCACGACTGTGTCTTTGAGACCTAAGATTAAATTATATAGAGGCCTGGTATCATGTAATGTAATTCATAAATTCTTATACTATTTTTATGTTTGTGAATTGCAAAATTATTTATCAATTTTTATGATAAAATAATTCTAATATTTTATTTTTAATAATAAATAAACTTAATTCATGCAATTTATATTACAACCTTTGATAGAATTTATACAATTTTAAAATTAAAAAATTATTTGAATTATAGAGATTATTACTGATACCATCACTACCAAAAAAATTCTTGAAACGTGTGATTTTATAACTAAAATTGTCATTAAAATATCTTTAGATATTCGTCATTCACTTTTTATTTAATTTATATCCTGTATATTTTAATAGCCATCTTGTGAAAAAATAAAGTCATTTTTCCTATAATTTATCTTTAAATTTTATCCTATTACATGCTTTCTAAAGTGAAATTCAATACTATAACTTAAATGAGATCTATAATTCATGTGATGCCTTAGACGATGGCTTTAATAGCCTAAAGGAGCCACGGCCGTGACAACTTGTCATTCCATAAAGTGACAGTGAAGCTATTTGTCTATCTTTCTTGGTTTATGACTCATATATGTGTCAATAATAGAGTCTTGGCAATTCAGGCCAAGTCTGATGGGTTAACCTAAATTCACTTAAAAAAAATTAGGATCAATCTTAACTATATAGACTTTTTTAAGATGATAGAACATTTTAAATTCGGCCTAAATTGAGCCAAACCACTAGAATTTATAACTCCATGTGTATATAGATTTAGTAATTTTGGCCAAGTTCAATGAGCTAGCTTGAAAAAAGTGAAGGCCGGACTTAGTTATATAAACTCTTTTAAGAAGACAGAATACTTCAAGCCTGATCTGAATAAGTCTAGCCCATATTGTTGGCTTTAATCAATAATGCCTTTCACAGAGATGTTAGAGTTCAGGGACGATACTCAGAGAGAAAAGTTAAAATGGTGAACACAAAGTTGGGCATCTTTGTTTCCATTTCTTAGCACATTTCGTTGGGTGGAGGGTCCAATTGTTGGGTTTGGGGATTTCAAACCAACATCTTGACTATGATTCATGCTATTATGATTCCTTCTTTCTTGGCAGCAGGATTTGCCTCCACAATAATTTGGTAGATGTGCTAAATTCTTATTGACTAAATTAATCTTTGTTGGTAAATTTTCGATATACAAAGTACTATTGACACAAAGAATGAGCCCATGAGCACAAGCCCAAAATAACCATGGATTTGTAATATGTGAATCCAGCACAATACGTAACGGATCATCTAGAACATTTACTAGGGCTACGTGTATCAAATCTCCATTATTGTACCACGTGACACTCCTTTACACTGAATTTATATCAACTTTGTACCTATTGGATGCAATGCAATGAACATATTCTATTCGATGAGCATTTTAATATTTTCGTACCTCAATATGTATCATAGCATTAAAATAGTATTTCTGGCAAAAAGGGAAAAAAAATCTAAATCAAGGCATGTGTTCCCTGTTAGGTACAACAATAATTTAAGGCACTTGGTTGGAAATTACTTGGAGAAAAACCAAATAGGCTATAACAGGAGGGGACCCTATATGGTGAAATTGTTAGTGGACTTTCTCTCATGTTATTTATTTTAAAAAACATTTTGAATTAAATAAATTCATAGAAAAAATAATGCCAGAAGCATTTTATTGAAGAGAGAGAAATACGGATACTTCTACAAATGAAATGAAAATATTTAAAAAGGTAAAATATCTTTAAATTTGTTTTATTTAAATTATTGTTCATAAAAAATAGAATAAATTACAAAGATCACATTTTCCCCCTTAGAGATAGTTAGTCGTTCAATAAAACTACCCTTACCAAATATATGTTTCTTGTCAATTTATGTTGACTCTTGGTTGCAATATCATAGTTAATATACTAGGATTAACATTGTCAAATTTAAAATCTCCAAATTAAATTACCGAGTTACCTTGCAATTGTATTAATCTATGATGTTTAAAATTTTAAAAAAAAATTAACATGTAATGTAGTTCTCAACATGCTATGATTTTCACTTTTTGCTATATATTAATTAGATGGATTTACAATTAGATCCCAACTAATTCAGTATAGTTCGATCACAACAAATTTTACTGAAAAATAAATTGTAAATATAATCTCAAACACTTCTAAATATAAGGGTTTTAGACTTGAATCAATATTTACAACTTACTTTTCAGCAAAAAAATTTTAAGATATAACTATCATCAAATTAATTTTTAGAGCATAAGTTCATTTTCCCTATTAATTATGCCTATGAAGCACATATGTGTATGTTTGGGATCAAATAGTACAAGAAGCTAACGATTAGATCAACAGTTTCTTTGAAGCAAGAAGTCCAAACATTTGAGAGCAAGAAGGGTAGATAACTAGTTATATCAGTTTCAGTTAAAACGCGCACACACACACATCAAAACCTTTTCATGCAAGAAAAGCCGCACACAATTGTGTGTGTGAGTTATATATATATATATATATATATATATATATAAACCTAACTGGTATCTAACATTCGTCACCAGTTCTATGTATCTCACCAAACATCCACTTTAATCAAACATACCCCAAAATTCCTTAATAATTAATCCATTTGCACTCTCTCTTTTTCATGCAAAGAAGAAACCTCAAAAAACTATTCAAAATAAATTGTGAACAGTTCTGTTCATTCTCTAATTTCAAGTGAAAATGCTTATAACATGTTTTTTTTGGGGAAATTCTACTGTTTTTTCCCAAATAGGTTATACAAAAGACGGATGAGTTGCTCTTGTAGGCTATTTTATGAGCGATGATATTGCGCGCGCGCGTGTCTGAGATAAAGTTTTATCAAATAAGTATTAAACAAATTGCTTATTTAATTATATTTAGCGTTTTTTTTAAAAACAATTTAAATAAGTAATAAATATATATTAAAAAACACAGAAATCTTATTTTTCATTTAATAATTAATTATGCTATCACATCATAGATAAAAATATAATATTCCTCAAAACTTATGTTCTTCACTGTATTCTGATCAAAAGAATACAAAAAATAAAAAAATAAAACAAAATTTGTCAACCTAGGTTAGGGGTAAATTTTTTTTAAAAAAAAAGAGTACAAAATTTTTTATTATTACTTATCAAGCAAGCTATATACCCCATATATATATATATATATATATATTAATTTTTGATTCCATCGTTCAAAGTAAAATCATCTGTTACTTCCAAATTCCAATAAAAACCAACCAGCATGAAAGCCTCTGAGAAACATCGCTTTCTGTTTCTTATTCAGATCATTACACAGATTTTCATTCCCTGCTTCATGTTATGTTTCATGGTCGTCCAGAAAGTGGAAGCTTTGAACAGGAACAAGGTCTCTGCTGTTTACGTGTTTGGAGACTCAACAGTAGACCCAGGAAATAATAACTTCGTTAATACAGCTTTCAAGGGCAATTTTCCACCCTATGGCCGAGATTTTCCCAATCAGGTTCCAACAGGAAGGTTTAGTAATGGAAAACTTGGCACTGATTTTCTTGGTAAATAATATATATATTAATATCTTCATCTCAGTTCTGCAGAATTATATTTATACATTGTTGTTTTCTCTTGTTTATGTTTCTGTATATCAGTTGAATTTTAAACTAGCGACTGAAAAACTCATGGCATTCACGTATTATTTTTCAGCATCATATATGGGTTTGAAAGAGTTAGTGCCGCCATACTTGGATTCAAAACTCAGCATCAACGATCTCATTACAGGAGTTAGTTTTGCTTCTGCTGGTTCTGGTTTCGACCCACTTACACCAACTATTACTGTATCTCTCTCTCTCTCTCTCTCTGCGCGCGCGCGCTCCCCCATGTCTTTTGTTTTTGTGATGCTTGAAGGGCGAAAGGGGTAATTAAATGGCGTTGATCTCATTTCCTAAAAATGATGAAACATGTTACTCAGTACACACACACACACACACTCTTTCATATAATCAATGATCATTAAGAGTTTGTGCATGTTTTGATCCCGATCGTCGACAAATTTCTCATCCTATGCCTTTTTTTTTTTTTCCTTGGCTAATTACAGTTTATATATTCATTCTGAATTATGATTAATTTAGTTAAAACATAACAGATAGTATTTTTGTAATAACTATATATCTAGAATTAAATTTAAGGTAGCTATCCTGAGTTAACTTAGAAGTCTCTGAACTGGGTTCTCACTTATGAATTTTTTTTCTGGTTTTTCTGGTGTTCATGTGCATTAATTAATTAATTACAGGGTGTGATTCCAATACTGAAGCAATTGGAATATTTCAAAGAATGCAAGAAGAGATTGGAGAAAGTGCTTGGGAAGAAAAGAACTGAAAATCATATGAACAAGGCAGTGTTTTTCATAAGTGCTGGCACAAATGATTTTGTTGTTAATTATTTTACACTTCCAGTAAGAAGAAAGAGATATAGCCTCTTAGCATATCAGCATTTCGTGCTTCAGAATTTACAAGAATTCATACAGGTTTGGCTTCTTCAATTCTTTCTTAAATTTTAGTCAAATAATTAAATAGCAATTAAACTGTTAAATCCCGAAAAGCAACAGGTACTTTTCATAAGTTTAGTGAAATAATTTGGCTTCTTCTTAATTATGATTTATGAATAGATATGCTAGTAGGCTTATCGTATATTATATACTCTTATGGTTTTTTTTTTAATATGACACTGAGAAAATTTTTTTTGTCTTACTTATAAGTCACTTCGGTAAATTTTCAACATAAAATTTTTTTCTTTTACCCTCTATTATGAATGCTGGAGAAACAAAATAAATTGAAGTATATATATTTAACTAAGACAAAGTTGAGAATTTATTAAATTTTAAAATAAAATTAATAAATTTTAAAGTTTTTCTTAATTTTAATAAAATATATTAAAAATGACTTATAAACAAAGGAATGTTTCTCTCTTCCTATTCTTAATAACAATAAAGTTAGAAAAACTTTTCATTTTAAAATATGTTTAATGAGTTAACTATCATTTTTCGATTCCAATAAAGTAGTTGAAAGTACTTTTTAAATAGCAAGGAGAGAGTATGTACATTAATCTTTATTTTCGTAAAATGAAATAAGATAATTCGGAATCTATCATCACATGGCATATTTATTACATGAAATAAAAGACGCGAGTGCAGTTCATTTCGAAGGTGTAAATTTCAGACTGGCAATAGTTGGCAGTGCTTTTAATGTATGCCCAAAGCATTTTGAATATGCCAACCTGTGACCTATATAAAACCAAGCAATCCTTTAAGAATTTGTCTATTCTTTAATATTTTCAATATATATATATATATATATAAAATATGAGCGAGGTGTTCGGTGTGTTCAAATAAAGATGATTCAGAAACTGTTTGTTTTAAAGGCACACATTCAATTGAATATGCGAGGGAGTTTGGTGTTCACATAAAGATGGTTCATAAATTGGTTCTGTTCTCTTTTCACAAAGATGGTCCAAAGAAATGAATTATAGATATGTGTGTGTGTGTTTGACATATATTACATATTACACTGAAAAGCTTCACAAGAAAAGTGAGATTCATAAGTTAAAAGGAATTTTCCCACCCATCATATTAGATGTTTAGGATAGGCTTTCTTTTTAAATTTATGCTTATAATATTGATGTTTTTATTGAGAGAGTGATGTCATGGAGAGGGATATCCACACAACATATAGTAGGAGGTCAAATGAAAGTGCCGTACATTGGTCCTATGTCTCCTAAACAAAGGTGTATTGTTATGAGTCTCTCATTTAGAAACCTTACAATAAATTGAGATTTATAAGTACAAGAGGTTCTCCCACTTAACATGTTATAATCTTTTGAGATAGATTGTTTCTTTAGACTTTAGACTTGTGCTCATAAATATTAATACTTTTATTAAGAGGCCAATGTCATGAAGATCAAAGGAATACCCATTGAGGGCTTTGACTAGTAGGAGCCTATTGAAGTGGAGGAGTGCATTGTTATAAATCAGGGAGCCTTTAAAAAAGTGAGGTTTTCAAATTCAAATGATTCTCCACCCATCAAGCCAATCTTTTGAAATTAATGGACTCTTCTTTTAGACTTGTACTCATAACAATATGTACACTTGTAATGCAAATATACATAATTTATTGATTCTTGGTTGAATATAACTTACGATCCATGCCTTAATAATGCAGAACTTACGGGCAGAAGGTGGTAGGAAATTTCTTGTGGCTGGGTTGCCTCCAATGGGATGTTTACCTATAATGATAACCTTAAACTCTGATAATGCCTTTCTGGAACGAGGTTGTTTGGACAAGTATTCGTCTGTTGCCAGAGATTATAACCTCTTCCTTCAACATGAGCTAAGTTTGATGCAACTCAACATGTCTAATCCTGGTCTTAAGATCTCTTACATCGACGTTTATGGTCCTTTGGACAGTATGATTCATGCTCCCGACATTTTTGGTAAGCACAACACACAGTCCTTTGCTTATAAATTAATCTTTGCTACTCCCCTCTTCCCCTCTCAATTAGCTTGTTAAATTTTCATTAATTATTTATTAAAATGAACGAAACAAAAGAAATTGAATTCAAAGCCAACAAAAAATTGATTCAATTGATAAAGATACAACTCATGTGACTCTGTTTGGACATATATTTAAATCCTGTTATTAGAGTAAAGACTTTGTTGGTAAATGTATACTCCTAAGATTCAGTTCAAATTGTAAGACATTTTTTCTCAAGGGCAAAAATACCAGCAAACTTTTCTTCCATGAGCACTAACTATCTTTAAGTGAAAGATGGCACAACAATACTCATAAACTTGCTTTAATGGGCGCATCTGTCCCAAATCATGAAAAATGCAAACGTTGACAGTTAAACTAACAAGTTGACCATTTTTTTTTTTTTTTGCCGACATGGAACGTCTCATTGGGTCTCCAATTGTCCCTCCATCTCTCCATGATTCCCATACCTGAGTTTGTTCCAAAGACGTTGTCATCTCCGACGACCCTTCAATCTCTGCTTGCCCTTTACCTGCCCAAATCAACCCAATTTGATGCCCAAAAGCTTCCCATCTTGGTCTACTTTCACATTGGCGGATTTTGCCTCGAATCGACCTTTTCCTTCCTTAAACATCGCTACCTCAACCTCATAGCATCCAAGGCTAATGTCATCGCCATAAGTCTCCGTTGAATACTAGCCCGCGCCAAAGAACCCTCTTCTGGAAACTTTTATTTGTTAACGTGGATTTCTTATGCAGCATGATAAATATCATGTGTTTGTCACTCTTCACGAACAATTTCTAATTCCATTCATTCAATGATAGTTGGGATTAAGGGTAAAAGGAGAAAAACATGTTATTTTTTCACCAAATAAGGAAATAACTTAATTTTTTGGCATGCAAAATATGATTGGAAGTGTTTTATAATTTGGACCAAATTTGTAAGTATCTTTTTGGGCTAAGGGCTTAGCCCTGGCTCTAGTGAATATTTTCGGGACCCAACTCATGCATTTTTTTTAAATTACAGGAAACTCAATTTAACAAGAACTAAACATGTTTTTCATTCATTACAATATATTGAATTAATGTTAAAATATATTGTAGTTTTATCTTTATAGATATATATATGTATGTGCCAATGAATAAGTGTTTAATTAATGATGTTGTGATAGGGTTTGAACAGGTTGAAATTGGCTGCTGTGGAAGTGGGTACATTGAAACAACATTTCTCTGCAATAAATATTCTGCTGTGTGTTCTGATCCATCAAAGTATGTATTTTGGGATTCAATTCACCCCTCGGAGAAGGCATATTATACCCTCTTATTGGCATCTCGTCCTGCAATCGATGCCCTTGTTAATCAATGAATATGATTTATGTATAATGGTAATTAAAGGAGAGAATCATTGTGAATTAGCTTGCCATTAACATTAATGTGTGTGTGTGTGTTGAGAACGCTGAATTTATCTGAAGTCTTTTAAATGATATATGTTGTGCGGTATTTATCCAGCAAGCCATTATTACGACTGCGCTATAGTTCAAATTGTATATATAAATTGCAATGTTTGTAATTTATATATATAATGATAAATGGAAAATTGACTATAGGTATAAAAAGAGATTCTAAATTCATTTTTCATTTTAAAATAGAGCAATACTATCACTACCATTAACAAATATTAACTTTGATAGTTAGTTAATTAAAAATTATAAAAATATCGTCAAAAATTATAAAAAATGATCAAGAAAATCTCTCTTGATCCCTTTTTTTTTTAATTTTTGAGTTCTTATATGTAATTATGGATCATTTTCTATAATTTTTTGCACTTCTTGAGATCATTTTCTATAATTTTATTTTACCAAATTAACTTTTATTAACATTAGAGGCAACATTATATCACTTTTAAAAGTTAAAGAGGAACATTGTATTAAAATCTAAACACTCCTATACCTATTTGAGGCCAATTTGCCATTTAACCCATTTATAAATGCTTGAGTTGATATCAACATATATTATGTAAAATAAAGAAAAAATTAATTATTGGTCCTTGTAGTTTTAATTCAGTTGTAAACTTAGTTCTTAAACTTTGACTTATTGTAACTTAATTCTTAAAGTTTTAATTCAATTATAATTCAGTTCTTAAACTTTGACTCTTGCAATTCAGTCCTTATATTTTTAATCATTTAAATATTGGTCCGTATACATATTTTAAAAAATAAAATTATAAAGATTAAAATCATGTTAAAATTTATGACTAATATTTTAAATTATTAAATTCTTTTAATCTTTATAAATATTATAAATATCAAAAGTTTGAAATATTTTTAATCCTCATAATTTTATTTTTTAAAATACATGGACTAATATTTAAATGGTTGAAACTATATGAACTAATTTTATAAGAGATAAATTTAGAGACTGAGTTATAAATGAGTTAAAATTATAAAGATTAGTTGTAACGAGTCAAAATTTATAGATTGAATTATAATAGAGTCAAACTATAAGGATTAAATGATTAATTTTTTCTAAAATAAAATTAAAAAATTAAAAATATTTTTAAATTTATAATATTTACAAATATTAAAAGGGTTTAGTAATTTAAAATATTATTCCTAAATTTTAACATAATCTTAATCGTTATAAATTTATTTTTTAAAATATATTAAAACTATAAGGATTGAGTTACAAGATTTAAAATTTAAAAATTTAATTATAACCAGTTAAAATTATAAAGATTGAGTTACAATAAGTCAAAATTCATGAATTAACTTACAACAAGATCAAAATTACAATGACTAAATAATTAATTTTTTATTTAATTTATTATATGAAGATATATTATTTGTACAGTTGTATACAAGTGAATTATGTCAAAATTTTGTAAAGATTGAAAGCAGAAGAAGTCTAATTCTTATTTATTGATAATTTTTATGTCATGAAAAATCAAACAATAAAACTTTAAAAATGAAGGTGCATATTTGTTTTAGTTATATATTTGTACAATTAAAAATGAATATATTAAAATATTTAATGTTATGTTAATTCTATATATATATATAACCTTTTTTTTTCAATTATCGTATATGTTTTATAATTAATCTTGCTCTCCCACTTCGATGATGACAACTTAAAATACAATGCTATAAAAAGGGGAGAATGACAGTGAGGGATTGTAGAGGGGAAACAAAAATAGCAACAAAGGTCCAAAAACAATTTAAGGTTCATCTATGCACAAGTGAACCAACGAACATGTAGTTGTGCATAGATGAACTTCCAATTATTTTCGCCCCTAGAAAAATGCTTGAATCAATATGTATAAAACCCATGATATTTTGGGTGTGTGTATTAATTTAATTTATTATATTAAATATATATTCTGTACAGATATATGCAATTTAAATTTCGATGTGAAATACTTAAAAGAAACATTAAAAAAGAACATAATACTTACATAGAAAAAGAAACAATAAATCTACATAAATTATACAGTAACATTGAATTTTATTTTATAACAATATATTGATAATTGTTAATTTTTTAGAGTACATTGATTTAGAGAGCTAGAGCCCATGCACTACTAGAAAAATGTAAATTAGCAAAGAAATATAGCGAGAGATTTTCTATTCCTCTCTAAAATACAGAATTAGCGAGGAAAATAGTGAGGGACTGTCAATCCTTCTCTAAAATAAGATAATTAGCGAGGAAAATAGTGAAGGACTACTAATCTCTCTCTAAAATAAGAAAATTAACTTTTGGCAATGACTTTTAATTATATGTTTTAATTATTTTTATCTAAAAATAAAATTTAAATTTAAAAATTAACTAAAATATTCATAATAAAATTATTTAATATTTAATATATTCTTTATTTTAAGTTGATTTTCATTAATAAAATTATATTTTATTAAAAATATAATGTAAAGAATAATTTAAATAAAATATCAATATTTTTAACATAATAATAATTGAAAATAAAATTTAATATGTATATATGTGTGTATTTTTATAATATATTATTTGATATATTTATATAGTTAAATAATATATATTTAATTTCTCATATATAAACTACAGGTGCCTTTCAGTTTAACTACAAAGAAGAAGAGCATAAAACTTGAAAGGTATGAAGTCAAGGGTTCAAGTTTTGAGTTTGGCATAAACATAATGAATATATAATATGTAAAAAGCAAGTGACATGGTACAAGGTGAATGATGATATGTCATGAATTGTCGTACATGTGGCGGGTGATGGAACACAAGATGGTAGGTGACATGGCGGTTGATAAGACACGAGGTTATTGGTGACAGGTCACAGTTGATGCACACATGGAGGATGATGTGGCATCACTATTTTTAAATAAAAGCATATTTAGTGAGGAATTAGCAAGGGACTAATCCCTCGCTAAATTATCAAATTTTGAATATTATTAGCAAAGGATTTAGTCCCTTCTTAAAATTAGTGAGGGATTCAATCCCTCACTAATTAGCTAAAAAATATACAATCTTTCGCTAAATTTAATGAGCATTTTTTTAACTATGAATTTAGAAAGGGATAAAATTTCTTGCTAAAATGTAATTTAGTTAGGAAAAATGACATTTAGTGAAGGATTTATCCCTCGCTAAATTCAATTTTTCTAGTGATGATGCACTACATACTGATAGTTGAAGCGTTTTCTTCACTCAATAACATTGACTCCACTGCCCTTGTTGTCGGACTATAATTTGACTAATTGAGTTGTGAAATTGTATTAACTAATGATTAAGAAATAACAAAATTATAATTAAGGGTCACCTGGGGAAGTTTTATTATCAACTAATAAATAACTATTTACTTCAATCAAAATCAGCCCCATACAATTTGCATGCATAGAACCTAAAATAAGATCATGCGCTATTTGATTATATTACTACTTGTAAGCAACACAACTTTAATTTAATACTACATTTTTTTATAAAATATGTTGATATAATATTGACATAAATATATTGGTGATTTAATGCGGGGGTTTAAAAAAATAACCAGTTTGGTAAATGCATATGCAAGATCTATTGTTCCAAGCACTAATCTCCCATTATTACTCTTCCCACTGTTCTTAATCAGTAATCTCTCATTTCACTGAAAAAAAAAAAATTATAGTCTCAGTGTTTGTACATAAGTATGATTGTATAACTCTTGGGGAATTAACCATAATCCCTCAATTTTATAATATTTGTTAGCCATTTTATGTCTATCAACTATAAATGAATAATTGCTTATATTCCCTGAATTTATTTATATAGCTTTTACTCTTAACCTATTGAATCTGTATCAGCTATATGCACAATATAATACATAATGCCGCTACATCGAAATATTATTTTGTCCATTATTGATGAGCAACTTACATACATACACCTTTTGATTTTATTTATAAGACAAGGAGAGAATGAATTTTTTTAGTTCTATTAAACATGTCATTGACTTTTTATTGTGAATTTCTCCTTAGATGAGATAATGAAATATATTAGAAATGATTTATAAATAAAATCTAAGAAAGTAACAAGAAGATAATGAAGACTCAATTAATTGCGTCAAATTAATTGCAATAACTTACAGTGGCAACGTACTCTTTATCAGTAATTATTTTTGTCACTAAGTACTACTCCCTCCATCCCAGATTCCCAATTTAATTATAAGGTATTTTTTGACAAAATTAAACATACCAATTATGAAGTTCATTAAATAGAGTTTGCACTCTTAATTTTTGTATAGACTTCTAGAAATACTTTTCACTAATAGGGGGAATTTATTTAAGGAGAGTGAAATAATGAAGAGTAATAGTTAAATAATGATCTTTAATAAAACCTTATTTAAAAAAAATCTTATATTTTGGGACAACAAAATATTTTCAAAAATATCTTATAAAACGAGATAGAGGGAATATATTCTGTAATTAACTAATGTTAACAACCCTTTTTTACTGTCTAAAAACAATAATACAAGGGAAATTGTTTAAGGATAATTATTGTGATCCAAAAAAACTGATTTGATAATATATTTGATGGCTTTCCAATTAGTTGCTCATGTGTAATATATTTGGTCATTTTTTGTAATTTTAAATCCTTATTTATAATTTTTGGAAATAGTCTAATTTTCTAATCAATTAGCAGTTAAAATTAATTTTTGTTAATAATAAAGATAACATTGCCACCATTTTTAAAAATTAAAAAAAATATATTGAACAAAAAATGGGTTTAAATTTCCAAATGCATCTGAACCTATAGTTTAAGGGTCAAATTATCCTTTAATTCTTATTATAATTTGATATTTTAGTATTCCATATTACGGCTTCTTTGCAATTAATTGCTTCTAAAATAACCCCTAGTACTTTGATATGGTTGTGACAAGTAAGGCAATCAAAAAGGAAAAACCAGGATTATTGACCATATTAAAAGTTTTTTTTTTATATTAAAAGCTTGACGTTATGCAAGTTATTAAACACGAATATTCCTATAATTATTGACCATATTAAAATCTTGACGTTA